TCTCTTTGATGTTCTGTTCTCATTTCCTTTGTATATACATTCACAAGTGAGATTGCTGGGTCGAGTTCTATTTTTAGTTTTTTGAGGAACCTCCATACTGTTCTCCATAGTGGCTGTATCAATTTACATTCCCACCAACAGTGCAAGAGGGTTCCCTTTTCTCCACACCCTCAGCAACACTTGTTATTTGTGTCTTCTTGATATGGCCATTCTGACAGGTGTGAGGTGATATCTCATTGTGGTTTTCATTTGCATATCCCTGATGATTAGTGAGCATCTTTCTATGTATCTGTTGGCCATTTGTGTATCTTCTTTGGAAAATGTCTATTCAGTTCCTCTGCCCATCTTAAAATGGAATTGTCTTTTTTTTTTTTTTTTGCCATGGAGTTGTGTGAGACCTTTATATATTTTGAATATTAACCCTTTATCAGATATGTCATTTGCAAATATTTCATCCCATTCCATAGGTTATCTTTTCATTTTGTTGATGATTTTCTTTGCTGTGCAGAAGCTTTTTAGTTTGATACAGTCCCACTTGTTCATTTTTGCTTTTGTAGCCTTTGCTTTTGGTGTCAAGTCCAAAAAAATCATTGCCTAGACCCATGTTGAGGAGATTACCCTCTGTGTTTTCTTTAGGAGTTTTACAATTTCAGGTCTTAAATTTAAGTCTTTAATCCATTTTGAGTTTATTTTAGTGTATGGTGTAAGGTAGTGGTCCAGTTTCATTCTCTTGCATGTGGTTGTCCAGTTTTCCCAACACCATTTATTGAAGAGATTATCCTTTGCCCTTTGTATAGTCTTGCCTCCTTTGTCATAAGTTAATTGACCATATATGCATGGGTTTACTTCTGGGCTGTCTATTCTGTTCCATTGATCTATGTGTCTATTTTTTTGCCAGTACTATACTGTTATGATTACTATAGCTCTGTAATATAGTTTGAAATCAGTAAGTGTGATGCCTCCAGCTTTGTTCTTCTGCCTCAAGATTGCTTTGTCTATTTGGGGTATTTTGTGCTTCCATACAAATTTTAGGATTATTTTTCCTTTTTCTGAAAAATGAAATTGGAATTTTGATAGGGATTGCATTGAATCTGTAGATCGCTTTGGGTAGGTAGGGATATTAAAAAAAATTAATTCTTTCAATCCACGAGCATAGAATATCTTTCCATTTGTTTGTGTCTTCTTTGATTTCTTTCATCAACATCTTATAGATTTCAGCATACAGATCTTTCATATCCTCGGTTAAGTTTATACCTAAGTATTTTATTCTTTTAATGCAATTGTAAATAAGGTTTTTTTCTTATTTCTCTTTATGATAGTTCATTATTCATAATGTGAGTATGAATATGTTAATGTTCATTATCTCTTTATGATCGTTCATTATTTCTCTTTATGATAGTTCATTACTCATAATGCATTCTCTTTATGATAGTTCATTATTAGTGTATGATAGTAGTTCATTAAAAATATAAACTTGTTTTTTTTTCTTTTCTTTTATTATTTCTTTTCTTTTCTTTTTTTGGCTGCGTTGGGTCTTGCTTGCAACATGTGGGATCTTCGTTGAGTATTGCGGGATCTTTTTTTTTTTTTTTTTGTGGTACGCGGGCCTCTCACTGTTGTGGTCTCTCCCATTGCGGAGCATAGGCTCCGGACGTGCAGGCTCAGCGGCCATGGCTCACGGGCCCAGCCGCTCCGCGGCATGTGGGATCTTCCTGGACCGGGGCACGAACCCGTGTCCCCTGCATCAGCAGGCGGACTCTCAACCACTGCGCCACCAGAGAAGTCTGCGGGATCTTTTTTGTTGCGGTGCGTGGGCTCTTTGTTGCGGCACACAGGCCTCTCTAGTTGTGGTGTGCAGGTTTTCTCTCTCTAGGGTGTGTGGGCTCTGTAGTTGTGGTGTGTGGGCTCCAGAGCGGGTGGGCTCTGTAGTTTGCAGCACACGGGCTCTTTCATTGAGGCGTGAGAGCTCAGTAGTTGTGGTGCATGGGCTTAGTTGCCCCTTGTCATGTGGGATCTTAGTTCCCCAACCAGGGATCGAACCTGAGTCCCCTGCATTAGAAAGCAGATTCTTTACCACTGGACCACTGAGGAAGTCCCTGTAACTGATTTTTGTATGCTGCAACTTTACTGAAAATTTTTTATTAGTTTTAAAACGATGATAGACATCCTAACAGGTATGAGGTGATATCTCATTGTGATTTTGATTTGCACTTCCCTGATGATTAGTGATGTTGAGCACCTTTTCATATACCTGTTGGCCATTCATATATCTTTCTGGGAAAAATGTTTAGTCAGGTTGTTCATTTTTTAATTGGGGTATTTGGGGTTTTTGCTATTGAGCTGTATGAGTCAGTTGTGATTCTTTGTAATTGGGTGTGACCTTTAAAAATAAATGATCAATTCCATGTTTGCTCTAAGTATATGGTCAGGTGGTCTTTGATTTAAGATGAGAAGGTAGTTTAGGGATACATTGTGAAATAGTACAATTTAAGTGCTTCACAAATATTAAAAGCTTTGTAATTTTACTCTGAGTGCCACTTGGGTGTTCCACAGCTTCATCTATGTAGCTACACAGATGGGGGGCTGAAGAAAGTGGAGTTTATTTGTAGGGCAAAAAGGCAGCTAAGGTTGGGAAAAATGATATTTGGAGATCAGCAGGTCCCTCTAATGGTAGCTAGCATAAATCCACTTAGGCAATGACAAAGAGTATGATGTGTCCTACATATCTGTGGTTGTGACTTATACCTTAGAAAGTCACCCCTATATAATTCTAAACTTCTAATGTAGCAGTGTTGTTGATGGGTAAGTTCTCACTAAAACTTCTTTTGTTTACTTAATGTAGATCTGGGAGCTTGTGGGTCCTTGTTGAGGGAACCTGGTCTCCTTTGTATCTATGTGTGTGGACTTCTTTTTTTTTTTTTGCGGTATGCGGGCCTCTCACTGTCGTGGCTTCTCCCGTTGCGGAGTACAGGCTCCGGACGCGCAGGCCCAGCGGACATGGCTCACGGACCCAGCTGCTCCGCGGCATGTGGGATCCTCCCGGACCGGGGCATGAACCCGCATCCCCTGCATCGGCAAGCGGACTCTTAACCACTGCGCCACCAGGGAAGCCCTGGACTTCATTCTTGTCCAGGAGCCACTGCCAGTCAATTTTCAGGGCACTCAGTTTGTTAATGTTTTAAAAATCTCCCCAAATAATGCATGTTGTTACTTCCTTGGTTTGGAATATAATTAGCGCTAGAGAATAGTGTCAAGAAGATGGTAATAAAAATGTGGCTCAATTTTGTGGTAACAAAGGGTTTCCTAGGACTGCACCCAGAAATGGGTAACCTTTCTCCAGGCTTTGCTCTTCAGGGGCAGTCCCTTTTACCTCGGGTGACATAATTTATATTCCAAACCAAGACACTTTTGAGAGTTAAAGGAGGAGCTAGTAGGATGAAACGCCAGGACTGTTCTGGGCAAACTATGACATAAGGTCACTGACTTTTATCTCACGACGGCAAAGCAGAAAGCACACTGTCTTCAGGCAGGCAGATCCGAGAGAAGGGGAAGAAGACCAGCACACTGAGTTTCTTCTCCCCAGTGCCCCAATTAGATAAATCAGCTCTTCACTACCCACGAGAAGGGAGGGATGGCCCAGGAAGCCAGTTGTGCTCATAGAAAAGCCATCCTCTTAGAATCCATAGGAGGAAAAGAGGTTTTTCCCATCAGGCCTGCCTCTAATATTTACACAACCAGAGGAAGGCCAGAGTGGGTGCTCTAAGCATAGGGGTTGGGGAGTGGTGTGCAGAGCTGATTGTTAGCATTGCTTCTCAACTCCATATTCAGTGATGCTTGGTAGATTGAAATTGGCCGTAATGGGAGTACTTACACCACAGGAAATGGCAAACTATAAATTAGGGCCTTTCTTTCCTCTCCTCTGGTAGAGCTGGTTGTTAAAAATCCATCAGCACACCACTTGGCCCTGGACTGGAGTTTTAATTCCATGGGTTTATGGTTGATACTTCTCTCTGCCCCCATCATCTAGTGTAGATGTTCATGATCAGTGATTAAAGGCACATTTATGATTGCCATGAAAAAACTCCAGCTTTTGCACCATGTGTTTGCCTCTCAGAGATGTACTCCATTGGGCATGCCCCCAGGTCAGTCTGCGCTTTGAGTCCTCTGTCTTGAAAGAGCCAAGGAGCCGGGGATGTGTCTTCCATTGGCACTAAGACTGGTCATTCAGTGCAGGCTTCTATAGTCCTTTGCCAAGTGTACTGAGGCGGAAAGCATAAGAGTCACTTTGATGCTTTTAAGAGTCTTACAGGCATTGATATCAGGACACAGGCTACTTCATGGGGGAACTGAAATTGTTAGCAATCGTTTTCTCAGTGGAGTCCCAAAGTACCTGAGTTTTAGAAGTTAGAAGTTCCGGATTTGAGTCCTGTTTATGCAGATTACAATTGTTGAACTTTGCAAAAAATATTTCACTGCCTGCAGTGTTGGTTTCTTTTAAAGTGGGATTAATAATCTTCAATTATAAAGTTTTGAGGATAAATGAAATAGCATGTGAAAATGAGTTATAAATCAAAGAGCTACGTTAATGTAAGCATTATTGTGGTAAAAGGAGAGGTTAGTTAGTTCTGACATTTTAGCTAATTATTTGGAGGACAGGAAGCAGAGCTGGATTATCCCAAAGTTAATGAAGCATGTGCTTAGCCCTACAGCAAAGGAGTATTGACTTACTTTTTGGAGGGAAAGAATTTGATATATCTTCCTCAATCCCTCCAAAATAAATTAATCATCATTGGAAAAATAGAAATTTATTGGATTTCTTTATGCTTCTTTTACAGTTTGTTTTAAAATTATAATTTAGAAGGGAGTTTATTATAATAATTAAAATTATAATTTGGAAAGGGTATTGCATTCTTTAAAAGTACTTAAATTTCTTAAAAACACCTTAATTCAGCCACCATGAAATAATTTTTACTTAGGTTCTTATACTTTTCCTTGTCTTTAAAAGGACTGGGGTGAAGGAAGCCTTCAGAGGTATGTTTTGTGTCATATATAATGCTTTGTACAGAACACATAAGGCTGTTTCTTTTCTCCACACTATATATAGGCAGAGCTCAGATATGAAACTACTTTAGTATAATGTTTCCTTGTAAAATAAATAATTTTTAATATTGAATTTTGTTATGTTAAAGAAACAAAGAAAATTTACATCTTTCAGGTTTGAGTGTTTTTAAAAGTGTTTTTAAAAGTGGGTTTTTTAGATGTATCTTGGCTTCCCTCTAGTGGTAGCTGAGGCAAACTGAACCAAAACCTGGGAGATAAAAGCTCAGTTCTTTGAATATAAAATAGGGTATTGAATATTTAAGCCTTCAATTTAAAGGGCATGTAATTAATTCAGGTTTTAATTAATTCAGGTTTGGCATTTCTTAGATACTAAGTGTTGTTGTTGTTACTTGAATTTTTCTTGTGTTTATTTTTGGTGGTGTTTATTTTGGTTTAGTGTGTGTGTGTGTGTGTGTGTGTGTGTGTGTGTGTGTGTGTGTGTGTATTCTTTCCCACAGAACCCAGAGTCTGATGTCTAGTTATAAATTCTAAATTTTTTGATGCTTTGTGCAATATCTTCTAGTACAAATTCTAGAAAAATAAATTTGTCAGTAAGCTTTTGGCCAAAACTGAGATTATTCTGGTGAACTTTTTTTTTTGGTAGAAATTAATATATTACAAAAAAAATACTAAACTTGAATCTGATCAAACCTTTAGATCCAACTACCGATTTACAGGGAATCCATGGGACAGAAGAACATGTTAGACTATACTGAGGAGATGTAATCAAACTCAGACTGAGAAATTCTACAGGACATAAAAGCACAATTCTTCAACAAAGAAATTGCAAGAGAAAAAAAAAAGATGAAAGTGGAATCTCAAAATTAAAAGAAACTCAAAAGACTACCATCATTTTACCATAGGTGGCTCTAATTTCACTCCTGATTAAAATAAGCAAGGGGAAGAAAACCTATCTGTAAAATTTATGAGACGAATATTTGAAAGTACATGTTCGATATTAACTAATTATTTTTAGGTGTGATAATGGTATTTTAGTTACGTTTAAAGGCAAGTTATTATCTTTTAGGGTTTCACACTGAAATATTTATAGATGAAATCATATGATATCTGGGATCTGCTTCAATATAGTGGAGGGGAAGGAACAGATGGAGGTGATGATATAGCACAATTGGCCATGGGCTTATGGTTATTGGCACCGGATGTATACCTGGGAATTCATTATATCATTTTATCTGCTTCTGAGTGTATTTGAAATTCTCCATAATAAAACAATAATATCAATACATTTGTTACAGTTCTTTTAGTAACAGCTATGTAAATGAATACAGGCTGTCGGACTACTAAAACAATTCCCTTCACCCTACTTAACCCAAGATAAGCGCACTTTTTTTTTCCTCGTTCCCTTAATTCTTTTTTTTAAAATTAATTAATTAATTTATTTTTGGCTGCGTTGGGTCTTCGGTGCTGCACGTGGGCTTTCTCTAGTTCCAGCGAGTGGGGGCTACTCTTTTTTGCGGTGCACGGGCTTCTCATCGCGGTGGCTTCTCTTGCTGTGGAGCAGGCTTCAGTAGTTGTGGTGCAAGGGCTTAGTTGCTCCGTTGCATGTGGCATCTTCCCAGAGCAGGGCTGGAGCCCCTGTCCCCTGTACCGGCAGGTGGATTCTTAACCACTGCGCCACCAGGGAAGTCCTAAGATAAGCTCACTTTGAACTTCATTTTGTATTGGAGGCACATCCTAAAGTTGTTAGAGCAGCCCTGAGAAGTCTGGCTCAGACCAAAGTGAACCTTGATTTCTTGGACCGCTAAGAAATTAGGTTAGTTTCATCTGGACTCTTAACTCCAAATTAAATCAAAGGGGATCGTAGACTAAAGATCAGGGGTAAGGACTTCTTTGGGAAGAGACAATGTAATAAGCTCAAATTACCCAAAGAGTAAGACATTGACTGACCCTGTTGTTCAAGTTCCACTTGGCTTCAGGGTTTGAGACTTGCTTATATACCCCTTCCCTAACTATCTTCCCTCTTCCACCCACCTGACCCTAACCTCAGTGCATGTGGAAAACCACTCCCCTACTTGTTCTAAGGAGGCTGAGTACTGCTTTCCTACCTAGTGCTTCCCGGGATTCTTGCTCTGAACACACTGTCCATGCAGACCCAGGATGCTGCCATCCTGCCAGGCTTCCATCACTGCCTTTTCTGATATAATAATATAATGTTCTTCTCTCTACTCATGAACACACAAGATTGAGCCTCCCTGCACCTGATATCAGTCTGAAATAAGGCATGACCCTTTGCAAATGTTAAGTTAAATTATTTCCCCCTGGAAGCCCCAAGATAAGCCCAGACCACTTCCTAATCTCCTACATAGCTATTTCATCATTCATTCAATAGATAGCTATTGAGTGCCTGATATATGCTAGGCTCAGGGTTGGGAATGCAATGCAGATAGAAAGGTAAGCAAAAAAGACCATGGTCCTTTCCTTCATTGAGTTTGTAGACTAATGGGTTTTAATGATCCAAGATAAGACTGTTATTTGTAACAAGTCTTTACTGAAGGTAGAAAGATAAAGGGAAGAGAGCAGTACACAGAAAATACCTTCTGCACCAGCCCAGGCTGGCTTCCTGCCTTGGCCTCTCTTGGTCTAATTCCATTTGTGTAGGGACAGTTTTTTCTCCACCACTGGAAGTATTATGGACCATTACATGACTCAGAATCCAGGACAAACTCCAGGGACCCAGAGAGAGAATATTTTTCTACAACCTTTTTTTTTTTTTTTTTTTCTAAGCACACCATTTATAGAATGACACATATGATATAGATATCTGCATTCCAAGCTTTTTCCAAGTTCCACATCTCTAATATCCTGAATACTTAATTCTCCACAGATACCTCAGGTTCAACACATTGCAACAAACTCACTATCTTCCCAAAGAAGAAAAACTTGCTGATCCTTGAGGTACATTCTATCTGAGCAAGTAGTTCCTCTGAGAACATAGTTCTACAAGTGAGAAAACAAGTATGAGAGCAAAGCCTTATACATAACATTTTCATATACTTCAACTAGACATCCTTCCATCACTGTCATTTATCAGTCATCTACATATTTTTTGAACTGTTAAAAATTACAACAAATATTCAGAAAAGTGCATAAATGTATACCTGTGTTAACTTTCCCAAAATGACCAAATTGCTTTACAAACTCTTTTAAATCTACTTCCTTAAATCCTCATTTCTTGCCAGGATTAACCTTTCCCCAGGAAACTTAGAAAAAAATAGAATTTCAAGACAGAATGATCAAAACTTTAAAAGTTAGAATAAAAGAAAAGCATGTGGAGGCAAGTTTCAACCTTTTATAAAGAAGAGTTTTCTAACAATTTTTGATGTTCAAAATGAAGGAAGTCACCTTGTGATGTTGTCCTTGTGTTCCCGGTGAATTTAAGGTTCTTTCTTTGTCGTGAAAGAATTTAGAGATGAAGGGATAGGTAAGAATCAGATTTATTTAGAGAGAAACACACTCCACTGACAGAGCATCGGCCATCTCAGAAGGCAAGAAGCAAGAAACTTCGAAATATGGCGTGGTTAATTTTTATGGACTGGGTAATTTCATAGGCTAATGAGTGGGAGGATTATTCCAATTATTTGGGGGAAGGGGCAGGGATTTCCAGGAATTGGGCCACCACCCACTTTTTTACCTTTTATGGTTGGCCTCAAAACTGTCATGGCACTGGTGGGTGTGTCATTTAACATGCTAATGTAGTACAATTAGCATATAATGAGGCACAAGCTCTACTGGAAGTTGAATCTTCCGCCATCTTGGACCTAGCTGTTTCTCACTACTTTTTGTCATGTACTGTGGCTATGTCATTCTTTTAAAGGTTGTGCTCTGCCCCCTTCCCTCCTGTTTCACTTGGAAATGTAAACAGGTAGGATGACTGTTTTGTCAAGGCTGTGAAAACTCCTATTTAAGGGCTAACACTTGATTCTTTGAACAATGAAAGTGGGAATATTAAAGGCACTGTAACATCTGGAAAGGAGAGTAATATCAGGGCAGAGATGTTTTCCATTTACAGCTTATATGTAAGATGGGTGTAGACAAAAGTTTAGGCATCAGAATTATCGTATGTGTCAGTAGATGGGGCACTGGCCCTAGATTGTGGGAGCAGTGGTGAACCCATTTGCTGCAGGCCTTCCATTCTCAGAAGAGACTTGAGCAGAACCTTCGAAGAAAGCAGTTTTTGCTGCAGCTTCCAAAGTGCTAGTATCCGCTAGGAGGCCTGAAGACATCTAGGATAGTTTGAGTCATATCTTAGGCCATTCTCAAGGGGATGATACTGGCTATGTTGCCAATTATAGAGTTTAACACACCAAATTTGATGTGCCACTTAGGTCTGGATCCTCCTGAAATACAACCAACACCACCACTACCACCACCACCATCAATCACCCTGTTAAATTATGCTGGATAACAAACAACTGAAATCCTTGTGGTCTGTGACAATAAAATTTGCTTCTCACTTTACGCTACATGTCTACCATGGATTGGCTGAAGTTCTGCTCAAGTTCCCTCCCTCTGGAATCCATGTTGATGGAATAGCCACCATCTGAAACTTTGCCAATTACCATGGTTGAGGAAATAAGAGAATATAAACATTGTACACCAGCTCTTAAAATTTCTTCTTGAAATAAGGTATTTGGTTTCTGTGTTGTGATTACGATAGCATTTTGATCACATTAGATCTGGGATCCAGGAATAACTGGATCCAGCCTCTCAGTAGCAATCTTCTTTACCAGATCCCGAAAAAAAAAGTGCGTGGAGAAAATAGTAAGAATTCAAAACAGAAACAGACACAGAAAGCAAATTTGTGGTTACCAAAGGGGAGAGGGGCTGGGGGAGGGATAAATTAGGAGTTTGGGATTAGCAGATATAAACTACGATACACAAACTAGATAAACAACCAGATCCTACTGAATAGCACAGGGAGCTACATTCAATATCCTGTAATAAACCATAATGGAAAAGAATAAAAAAAAATAGTAAGAAAATACACCATGTTTCTCTGATGTGTGTGTATTCCCAGTGAAGAATTTCAGTGAGCTAGAAAGGACCCCACCAGGAACTCTTTACATAAGCCTGAGAAGCTAGGGACTAAAAGGGGTTAAATACCTGCTCTGCTTACTTCTACTCCACAGCCTGGATCTGAATCTTAAAAAAAAAAAACAAAAAATTATTTATGGCTGCATTGGGTCTTCATTGCTGTGCGCGGGCTTTCTCTAGTTGTGGCGAGCAGGGACTACTCTTTGTTGGGGTGCATGGGCCCCTCATTGCAATGGCTTCTTGTTGTGGAGCATGGGCTCTAGGCGCATGGGCTTCAGTAGTTATGGCATGCAGGCTCAGTAGATGTGGCTTGTGGGCTCTAGAGTGCAGGCTCAGTAGTTGTGGTGCACGGGCTTCGTTGCTCCGCAGCATGTGGGATCTTCCCGGATCAGGGATCGAACCCGAGTCCCCTGCATTGGCAGGCGGATTCTTAACCACTGCACCACCAGGGAAATCCCTGGATCTGAGTCTTATTCCTGTTACTCCACATCTGCCAACAAGAGGCTGAAGTGAGCACAAGGTAGAAGGGAAGGAACTAAAGAGAATTTGTCTCAGAACCTAGTGGGGAGCTGGTCTAGGCTGCATGTCCATTACCAAGTCCCGTGGGGAAAGAAGCCAGAGAACCCAGAGAGAGAAACAGAGAGCATGAGCCTGCCAGTGGAAAGCATGTGGAGTGGGAGGTGGTGGGCTGTCTCAGGAAGGACAGGCTGGGGACCATACCTTCATTTATCTTGGGTTTTGAGGAAGAGAGGTAGAAGGGACTACAAACACATATATCAAGACATGGCGCCTTTTCAACAATTTCAAAATCTCCAGTCAAGAAGGGTGGCCCATAAAACTGTATCTTCATAAATCCATAGCAACCAACCATTATAGGTAGATACTTAGTACTGAAGAGAAGGTCACGAGGAGATGCGGTGTCCTAACCATGGTTTCCTTCTGGGCAGGGTTGGAGTGAAGGGGGAGAGTGAGCAGGACTTTAATATGGGATTCTTTCCCCTTAGGCCTTATTATCTGGCAAGAATGACCCTAAATTGAAGCATGTAGATGCATGTAGGGGATCAGTTAATAATCTGTTTTTATTTCTTGGTAGGAAGGTATGTCACTTTAATGCTTAGACTTTAAAAAGCTTTTTGTAGGTTGTTTATGTCGATTCCTTATAATTTTATTCTATATTTTTCAAGCAC